TGGGGTTTAGTCCAATTCTGTATCCTTCCCTTCAAGGCTCAGGGGTCTAAGATTATCTTCTGTGTCTGTGTTAATTGGTTTCCCTTTTCTTTGTTGAAGAGGGTATTTGCAATCCTTCTGCCTAGTCCACCATCTTGTCGGAAGCTCGTGTCTTTTCTTTTTATAAGATAACCCTTAGAAGTGATTAGGTTTAGGACCCACCCTACACATTTAGGACCCATCCTAATGAACTCATTAACATAAAAACTATTTCCAAATAGAATCCTATTTACAGTTATTGGGATTAGAACTTCAATGCATATTTTTTGGGGGGGACACAATTCAATCCATAACATGCAAGTACCCAGAAAACATTAATATTAGGGAAGAATTCATGGATTGATTGGAAAAATAGTGTGTGTGTGTATAAGTCCTGTGAGATCACAGGATACTCTAAGAAATTGTGAATTTCTTGACACTGGTGTATTTACAAAAACTGTATTTTTGTCAGGCTTGAGGATGCTGTACTGGATTAGCTTCAAAGGTTTCTCTATGTTTATGATTCTGAAATTAAAGGTGATTTAGAATATTGGCAGTTGATTGCTTTTTTTCTATGTAGAATTTGCCATCTACTGTAGTATCTCATGTTCTGAATCCTCAACCTGGAGAGAAGATTCTAGACTTGTGTGCAGCACCAGGAGGCAAAACAACACACATTGCAGCATTAATGCATGATCAGGTAAGACTGTCTTTACGGCAAAACTACTTAATGTATTACATATTTCAGTGGAGAAGGTGAAATTTCATGTAACTTATGAACCATTATACAGGCATTCATGATCTGAACATTTACAGATTCAGCCAAAGTAAAGACTGTTCAGAGATGTCAATATATTAAATTCAGTCAAAAATTATCATTTGTGAAGACTGTCTCAAGATCTTGAATCACTAATTTGTTAATACAATTATATTTGATATAATTGTATATTAAATTATATAGAATTATAATTCTATAATACAATTATAGAATACGATTCCACCCTCATAAAATTAAGTTTGGGCATACTGAAACATTTAGAAATCCTTTCATGTTCTTAATTAGAAGACTTAATACTTTTAAAAATTGTTAAAATAGATTCTTCCACTAAAATTAATTTTAGTACATGTTCTGGTTACCTCGTGCTGCTCTGACAAGAATAGACCACAAATGGGATGGCTTGAACAAACAAGCGTTTATTCTCTTACAGTTTGGAAGCTTTAAGTCCAAGTTCAAAGTGTCAGGCTCGATGGGCTGGCTGAAAGCCCCTCAGCCTTGGGCTTCAGCTCTGCCTCCTGCTCCTGGCCCACTGGAGCTAGAGGCATTTCTTCACTCAAGCAGCTGCTGGCTGCTTAGGCTGCCAAGCCCTAGGTTGACAAGTAAAAAGGCACAGTCCCGATGTTACCAAAGCACACGATAGGCTATTAATTCAAGTCCATTCTAAGTCCCAAGGTGGGCAGGGCATGGCAGGCTGCTGAAGCATGACATGGCTACATGCAGGCTCCAAGTGTGCCATAAGCTAGAGACCATTCCCCAAGACTTCTGCTTATATACAGGAACTAGATCACATTCCCTAAGACAGCTACTCAGCTGCTCCCAGTAGATTCCACCATGGAGTTGATTGCCAGTCTCATCATGGGGAATACTACCAACAGCTGCCCAGCCATTCAACCAGGCCCAGCCAAGTTGACACACAAACTGAACTACCACAGTACACTACTGAAGTGTTGAAATATATATGTTGTTTGTTGTTGTTAATGTGCCGTCGAGTCGGCCCCGACTTATAGCGACCCCTCCTTGGGTTTCCGAGGCAGTATCACTACAGAAGTAGGATTGCCCAACCTTCCTTCCGAGGAGTGGCTGGTGGGTTTGAACCACCAGCCTTCTGGTTAGCAGTCAAGTGCTTTAGCCACTATGCTACCAGAGCTCCCGAAATATATATATGTTAAAGTAAATGTATACACACATATATAATACATAAATAAATACAAACACCCACATGAATATCTAATATATGTGCATATGTGCAGTCTTGTCCTAGAGTTCACAAAAACTTTATGATCTGGCTTAATCATAAAATCTGCTTCATTGCCACAGAATATGAGTAACTCTGCCCTTGGATAAGTCCCGGGGTGGCACAAATGGTTAAGGGCTCGACTACCAGCTGAATGGTTGGCAGTTCAGACCCACCCAGACACATGTTGGGAAACAGACCTGAAAATCTGCTTCTAAAAGGTCACAGCCTTGAAAATGCTGTGGAGTGGTTCTCTGCACACATGGGTCGCCTCATGTCACCATCAATTTGATAGCAATTAACACCACCAACAGCCTATTTATATTTATTTGTAAGGGCAAAATACAGAGACCAGTTAGGAAACTAATTTACAGGAAGTAACGGCAGTAATAAGAAGATTCTGGCTATGCTTTCAAGGTAGAACTAACAGGAGTTGTTGATAGATTGGATATTAGTTGTGAAAATGAGAGAGTAATCAAGATAGACTCCTAAGTATTGTGGCTCGAAGAACTGGAAGGATGGAGTAATTGCTGGATAGGGACAGCTGTGGGAGAAGCAAGTTTTGCAAGGAGAAATCAGAAAGTCAGTTTTTAAAATAATAAAATGAGATGTCAATTAGATAGTGAAGAGTTTTGAGATGTCGTGAAAACAATTGGATATATATGAATCTTCAGTCCAGGAGAGAGGTCTGGATTGGAGATACAAATTGATAAAATCAACATATAGATAATATGTAAAGTTATAAGACTGGAATTGTGGGACTGGCACAGGACAAGGCAGTGGTTCGTTCTGCTGTACATAGGGTCGCTGTGAGTCAGAGACGACTTGATGGCACCTAACAACAAGACTGGATGAGTGGAAATAGAAAATAGAAGAGGTCTGGGGACTGAGCCTTACGGGTAAAGCAAACCAATATTCAGGGATTGTAAAATGAGAAGGAATGGCCAGGGGAGTGTGGTAACTCCAGCAGCCATGTGAAAAACAGGGGTTGAAGGAAAATGGAGACATTAACTGTGTCAAATCTTGATGATAGGCCAGGTAAGATGAGGCTTAAACTCACCACTGGATTTGAGAACATGAAGGCCATTGGTCATCCTGACCTGAGCTATTTTGGTGAATATAAATATTTTCTTGGTTTTAAGAAAGAATGAGAGGAGAGAGAAATCAAAGTAGAGATAACTCCTTTGAGGAGGGAGTATTGTACAGAGCAGGGATGTGGTTAGTAAGTAGATGGAGGGGGATGTAGTGCTTGTTTTTTTTTTTTTTTAAAGATGACAGAAATAACAATGTTTCTGTGCCAGTGAGAAAAATACATTACAAAGAGGAAATTGGTAGCACCTGAGAGAGATTTAAAACATTGCTGGAATAATATCCTTGAGTAGGTGAGATAAGAGATTTGATACACAAGTAGCAGAAGTGGCTTTAGATAGTAATATGGGACAGTTTTTCCAGGAAATAGTAGGGAAGACAGAGTACATGGAACAAATATTGGTGGGTTGGTGGATGTGGAAAAAGCCCGGAAGTTCTGGTTATTTCCGTTTACTCAGTGAAATAGAATTCAAGGTCATCATGTGAGAATGGGAGCTCTGGTAGCATAGTGCCTAAGGCACTTGACTGCTAACCAGAATGCTGGCGGTTCAAACCCACCATCCACTCCTCAGAAGGAAGATGGGGAAATCCACTTCCATAGTGTTACTGCCTCGGAAATCCAACGAGGGGTTGCTATGAGTCGGGTCTGACTTGAAGGCACATAACAACAACAACAGGTGAGAGTGGATGAGGAGGAGCTGTTAAGAATTTTGAGAAAGTGTGAAATGTTAATTTAGGAAAATGAGGGGAAATGGGTTGTCATAATTCCAGTTTTGCTAAGCATCTTATGAATATAGCTATCCTGAAGTTAAAGTGAGATTCATTGGTGTGATTGTGTACTTTTCAGCTGCATGGAGATAGAATTGGATTTACTCATGGTTGCATTTTTGTCCTGTGTGTATGTGCAGGAGAGGAGCATGAGAGTTGAGGATGTGTTCAAGGGAGTGATTATCATGATGCACCATGGTGTATCTAAGCTGGGTGAAGAGCATAGCAAGGATTTGAAAAGGGTGAGGGCAGTAGATCAGTTACTGCTTTTCTAAATTAGCTCAGATTTGTAGCAAGAGACCATCTTATGAATCTAGGAAACTCAGCCATTATCCTCCTGATATACAAATTTAAAAATAAAAAATTACCTGGAGTAAGATTTTCTAAAATAAAAACATACTTCTATAAGGCTTTCAGTAAATCCTACTCTAGCTCACTTACTTGATAGAAAATATGTATTTGTGTTCCCAACCCAAAGTGCTAGAATATGGACTTACTCAGTTGATGTCTATTTTTATCTATATTTGATAATTCTTAAGACCCAAAGGATTTATAAGCAATTTTTTTCAGTAAAAAGTACAAATATTTACTGTATCAAGATGAAATTGTAATTTTTTCCTCTCTTCAGTACAAATTTTAGTTATCCAAACACTTCTGATGAAAATTACATTGCCAATTAGTATTTAATTTTAATACTATTAAAATTTCTGAAACATTGACAGTGTCAAGCAGGAAATAGGAAAAAAATATAGAAATAAAAATAAATGAATGAATGACTGTGGGTGTTATGTGTGTGTGAATACACACATAGTAATCCAGAACATTTTGCTATGATATACAGATGTTCTGTCTTATGTTTTTGGCTTTAATTGCTTTAATTCACATGAATTTTGTTATGTGTATAGTTCTGAAAATGCTGAGAAGAGGATTTGGTTAATGAATTCAGCTTTTAAACTAGGGGTTATGGTGGGAATGGGGAAGACTATAATTTTTCATGAATTCTTTTTATTAATAATTTTCTTGACTGCTTTGGATTAACACTTTACTTTTACATTTTTAGGGAGAAGTAATAGCACTAGATAAAATATCCAACAAAGTAGAAAAAATAAAACAGAATGCTTTGTTGTTGGGATTGAATTCCATCAGGGCATTTTGCTTTGATGGAACAAAGGCTCTTAAACATGAGATGGTTGAGGACACAGAAGGTGAGTTACATTTTATTTTAAAGACTTGTAGAATTGGCTGTCACAGACAAATAACTGAGATTCTTGTTATTATTGTTCTTGGCCCAAAATACCCATTGACCCTTGAAATTTTAGCATGGATCCAAGGTATTTTGCCATATTAGATATATTTTTGCTTTTCATTCCATTCCTTGAAAGGAAGGTTGGGCAATCTACTTCCGTAGTGATACTGCCTCGGAAACCCAAGGAGAGGTCGCTATGAGTCTTTTCTGACTCTATGTCAGTGAGTTTGGTTTTTATCAAGTTTTTAGTAGTGTACAAACAGATAAATCCCCAACACTTGGTCAAAGCCCTTTGTTCTTAATGTATTTGTATTCATTTCAGATTATATATTGGAACGATTCTGAGATATGATCTGAGCTTTCAAGTTTATGACTACACAGCTATTTTTTTCCTTTTTTTTTTTTTTCCTTGAGGAATGGGGGTATGGAGCAGAGAGGGGAGGGAAAACTACCACTTTATTTTGGAATTAGATGTTTATGATATCAATACTGTATTTATTAAATCACTATCTCTTTATCTGTATATTTTTTGTTTAGATCTGATATAATGTAATACTCCAGAAACTTGCATACTTTGATATACTAAGTGCCATTAATTTTCCCCAATACTTTATTGATTAAATATGCTATTTCTATTTGACTAAGTTAACTTTTGAAAAGCTGAGGACATGGGGTTTGATCCCCACCTCCCCTTTACAGATCATGTAGATTGCCCTAAAAAATAAAAATAAAAAACAAAACTGTTTCTCACCATTTAGTTTGTTTAGATATAAGTTGTTGTTCTTAAGAATAATTAGTGGACAGTTGGTAGTTCAATATAATCTATGATTATCACACCACTGCAATTGTAGATCACCAATTTTTATTTCTCTTTGAAAGTAAAGTGATCATCATTCTCAGTAATAATAAAATTGGGATTAGGCTTAGAATAGGGATAGCTGTCTTGAAGATCAGTCTTTAGTACTATAATAAGACAGTTTATTAACTGAATATTAACTAACTTATTTGATCTCTGATGTTTTTACACATCCTTATCATTTTATTACATAATTGTTTCACTTTTGTTTCTGTCAAGGCTGTTTTCATCACAGATACTCTCTGATAGTTTGATTTTGGTTGTTAAATTTAGAATATCAGATGGTAGAGCCCATCTGGTAGAAGATATATTAGTAGTAAAGTGAAAATCAACATACCTTTGAGACCCTGGAAAGAATATTAGTTTCCAAGGACTGCCATAACAACGTACTATAGCTGGAGGCTAAAAAAGCAAAAATTTATTCTTTCGTGGTTCTGGAGGCTAGAAATCCAAAATCAAAATGTTGGCAGGGCTATGCTGTCTTTGAAGGCTCAAAGCGAGGAATTCTTTCTTGTCACTTCCAGCTTCTGCTGGTCCCATGTGTTGCTTGTTTTCTGGCAGCATAACTCTGATCTATGTGTGGCCATCTTCCTCTGCATCACTATCTGTGTCTTTACATGACAGTTCCTTCTCTGTGTCTCTCTCTCTTCTCTTTTTTTATAAGCACACCACACATAGTGGATTATGTTACCCTTATATTACCTAATGGGAGCTCTGGTGGCATAGTGTAGTGCTTAAGGCATTTGACTGCTAACCAGAAGGCTGGCGGTTCAAACTCAGAGCCACTCCTTGGAAGGAAGGTTGAGCAATCTACTTCCATAGTGATACCGCCTTGGAAACCCAAGGAGGGGTCACTATGAGTTGGATCCGACTCGAAGGCTTTGTGTTTTGTTTATATTACCTAATGACATCTGCTCTGGTAGTGTTCGTAGTGCCTAAGGCACTTGACTGCTAACCAGAAGGCTGGTGGTTCAAACCTACCAGCCACTCCTCAGAAGGAAGGTTGGGCAATCTACTTCTGTAGTGATACTGCCTCGGAAACCCAAGGAGGGGAATTGGCTGAGTCGGGTCTGACTCGACAGCACATAATGATGACATCTGCAAAGACACTGCTTCCAAATGAGGTCATGTTCATATATACTGTTAAGTGTTAAAACTTGAGCTTATCTTTTAGGGAGATACAATTCAACCTGTAACAGAAAGTGAGAAATTATTTTGTAACCTCTGCGTAATATCTACTGAACTACATGGGATTAAAATATAAGCAAACAAATGAAACACATGGAATATTTCCTAGAAAAGCAGCAATTGTTCTGAGGGCCAGGGCCAGGACTCTATTTGTGCTGTTACAGTCAGAGCTAGGAATAGATCAGATTGAATTGCCTAATTATATGAGAACAGCATTTTATTGTCAGCTGATTTTGAACTTGAAGGGGCTAGCTAAGGTTTTCCAGGGGATTTATATTAGTTGGTGTATAGGCCAAAGGATTATACCAGAGAAACTCAAAATACAGTGGCTTGGGAAAAGTAGACTTTTTGTTTGTTTGTTTTGTGTCACCTAGAAGTTGGCATCCAATGCTGGAGCTTCATCTCTGTGTCCAAGTCCCAGTTCTTTCCAGAGGGAAAGGAAAGGGACAAGGAAGGCAAGACCTGGAAGTAAGATGAGCACCCAACTGGTGAAAATTTGGTCCTTTATCAATTTAACTACAGAAGGGGCTAGAAAATGTAGTCTTTAGCTGTGTAGTCATGTGCCCAGTTCAGATCATTCCTATCGAAAAAGAGGAGACTGAATATTAAAGAACTCCTAGCAGTCTGACAAGGGTTTATATATAAAATTGGTGATTGTGACTGTTTATTTATTTTATTCAACAAAAGCATTCCTTTCCCTTTAAAATGAAAATTTGAAAGCCTCTGGGAGAGTATTAATTGAGGTGTAGTATGAGGTGGCAAGAAGAACAGTATAAACTTGATTCAGTAAATCAGAAACTATACTGACAGCAAATTGCACGGTCATTTTGACTCCTATACAGTTAATTCGATTATCTAGTACTATTGTTATAAATCATCCAAATCATGAAACTGTTGCCTAACCCAAGGTAATGAAGATATAATCCTATATTTTCTTCCAAAGGTTTTATAGTTTTAATTTTTACATTTAGTTTTATGATCCCCTTGGCCTTCTTCTCTGGGTATTTCTGTGTCCTTTTCTGTCTCTTAAAAGGATATTCTCATTGTGTTTAAAAAGTGAAACCAAACTCACTGCCATTGAGTTGATTCCAACTCATAGCAACCCCCATAGTTTCCAAGGCTGTAAATCTTTACAGAAGTAGATTGCCTCATCTTCTTCCTGTGGAGCAGCTGGTGGGTTTGAACCACTGATTTTCTGGTTAGCAGCCAGTTGCCTTACCTACTGCATCACCAGAGCTCCTTTGGATTTAAGGCCCACACTAATCCAGTATGATCCCGTCTCAACTCTTACCTTAATCAGAGCTGCAAAGACCCTATTTCTAAATAAAGTTAAATTCTGAGTGGAGAGACACTATTCAACCCACTATACAGATTGACTTTCTTTCTCTGGGGCTATATGCAATAGGAATTACTAAGAGAAGGGCCAGCTCCCAGATTGACTTGAGTCAGTTTCACTTAATTGTTCTGATGAATCATGGCTTGTGAAGTTGGAGATAAAAGGTCTTACTTGATTAGGCCTTGATTTGCACAAAATCAACTGAAAAATCCCAAATGATCATAACCATTTTAACCTTTTTATAAAAATCCATATTAAAGATTATGTGAGAAATAGCATAACCAGATACTTATTGGAGAAGGAAACTGGGGTTTTTTGGTTTTTTTTTTTCATTCTTTTCCGAATTATGACTTTAAGTTTCCTGTAATTGCTTCTATCTCAAGAATTTTCTCTTCTTGATCAATAGGCCAGGTAACCAATATGTTCACAATTCTCTTTATAGGGAAACCTCCATTCTTACCAGAATCTTTTGACCGAATTCTTCTCGATGCACCCTGTAGTGGAATGGGACAGAGACCAAACATGGCTTGTACTTGGACTTTGAAGGAAGTGACATCATATCAACCTTTACAACGAAAACTCTTTTCTGTGGTACGTAATGATCATTTACTGCTAAAGAAAGTTAACCTTCACAAGTTGGATATATCAACAGACTGAGAGGACTGAGCTTTAAATAGCTTTCCTTTAATGTTGACTGACCCTTTAAAATACATAGCCAATAGCTGAATTTCTTCACTGTGACATGTAATGAATTTCAGAGACTCTGCTGCCGTATAAAAGAAAACAAAATAGAACCTCTAGCTAATTGCCAACAATTAGTTACTAATTGATGTACAGAACTGGTTATAAAATAAAACTGTCTTTTTTTTTTACAGGGTTAATTATTTTTCTTCCTGGGTCATCTCAGATGGCAAATTAGAAAGGAGAAGGCCAAGAGAGGCAAATATATACACTGATAAAAATGGAAAGTGACAGTGGCCAGTTTAGGATATCAGAAAAATCATAAAAACTTTGCAAATTTATCTGCTCTCCACAATATTTCAGAAGAAGGCCAGGTAGTCCATTTGAAGATTTCTCTTAATTTTGGAAAAATGCTTCAGTGGAATTCACAGTATGGACATCATTTGATTGAATATGAATTAATTATTTCCTTTCAATTCTCTAATTAGAAATACATAGGCTGTAGCAATAATGGATATACTGTAATTGTTCAGTCTCTATGGTTGTCTTTGAGTACTATTCTAATCATTTCGCCTGGTGTCTCCTTTTGCAAACAAATGTAGCACTCCTAGTGGATTACCTTTTTCTTCTTTTAGACAGTCTTCAAAGAACATCTTTTGGGAATTAAAACAGTGAGCAGCAAAAAAAGATCTTTAATTATAGCTGAAACCCATTCTGCTTTGTGGGTAAAATTATGGTACTATCTAAAAAGACTTGGTTTTTTGGTTCTTTTTAGGTCATAAGAAAAAAAAAATTTAGAAAGGCTAGTAGGGGTAAGTACATTGATCTAAGTGAAAAGGAAGAGCTAACAGTGTGTGACAGAGAACTTAGAGTACAGATAAAAAGTAATTAAGAACATGGACCTCAGAATCATACCTAGCTTGATTAGAGTTCTGTCTTCTCCATATAAGTGACTGTGGTGAACTGAGAAGAAAAATGAGCTCATGCAGGGCTGTAGTTTCTCAGCAAATGATTGACATTACCTAATAGCAAGGTCACAAGCGTTTATTCCTTACACAGTAATGGGGACAAAAAGAAACAGGGTAAGATTTCCTCTTGGACTGGTCTTCCTTTGACCCTCATCCTGAGATGAGATTACAGACCTCCTCTGTGCACTCATTGCTCCTCAGTGTGTTCTAGGCAAAAGACAAAGAGACAGAGAGAGGGCTATACACCTTAGACCAGAGGGTTTTCTGTGTTGGGGTACACAGGAAAAATAGAAGGGAAGAAAAAGAGAAGGGCCTTTTGACACAGTCTGGGCTCAGGTGACCTAACAGTCTTACGGTCTTTATCCCCAGCTTTGATGGCATCAAAGGAAAAGCATTCCCTTTCCTTCTGAGATCTAAGATTAAATCTTGCCAGTATGCAATTAGACAGCTAATCATGTACCTTCCCATTAAGAGTAGTAGGGGAGAGGGTACACTGCCCCTAGAGGACATTCTTCCAGTAGACTTTGAGTGTATAAAGATCATGCAGGCATTGGGAGAGAAACAGCTTCCTGCTTCCTTTGCAGTGACTTTAAGGATATACATTTCCATATCTAAGAAATGAAGATAATAACTACGTTATAGAGATAGCCCACTGGGGATAATAGCCTTATCTCAGGATTGTTAGAGGGATTTATTGAGAAAATCCATGTAAAGTGCTTAACACAGTAGCTAGCATTTAGTAGGAAAGTTTACATTTTGATTAATATACTCTAGTTCAGAAAGCAAATATCTATTTAAAAGAATTTTTGTTAAAAGATTTTTAAAAATAAAACTTTAGAATTTAAAAAGATAAACTTTAGTTACTGGGGACAAATACAGTTTAGTGTAACACCTTATATCCTGACTTATTTATTTGCCAAATGTAAGACCTACTCTGCAGGCTGACCATGCAGTAGTGTAGAAGATATACAGATACCCCTGCTCTTCTTTACTAACAGAGTTTCTGTTTTAATTGGGGAGGAAGATAGATAAACAAATGTAGTTATTCAGTGTGTTATAAGGCCATAATGCTATGGACCTATGGAGTAGATGAAAGAAAAGAATGAGGATAGAAGTGCTGGATTAGAATAGTTGGAGTTTTACATAGGGTGGTCAGGAAAGACATTGCTGAAAAAGGGACATAGAAATAAAGAAGGTTAGGAAGGAACATGGAATACATGAATAGAAGCGCTTTCCAAAGTAGTGCGAAGATCTGAGGTGGGAGTGTGTCTTAACATTTCCAGGAACAGCACATAGGCTGTTGTTGCTAAGACAGAGTGAGCAAAGGTGTAAGAGGTATACAAGATGAGGTCTGAAAGGAGCAGAGTCATGGTTTATGTAGGTCCTTAAAGGCACTTAAAGACATTTGCTGTGACCCTTAGTGATAATGGAGGGTATTTGGAGGGTTTGGGACAAGTTTTAAAAGGACTATTCTGATTGCTGTATTGAAAATAAATTGTAGAAGGGCAGGGAAGGAAATAGGTGGACTCAGTAGCCAACTGCTGCACCAATCCAAGCCAAAGATAATTTAGGTTTGGGCCAGAATGGTACCAGTACACGTGGTGAGAAGTGGCCAATACTGGGTATGTTTTAAAGAAGGAGCCAATAGAGTTTGCTGTTGGATGAGGGATATGAAAGAAAGAGGAGCATCAAGGATAATTAACATTTAGGTCCTGAGCAACTGAAAGAATGGGAAGACTTCTGGGAGGGGAGATAGGTCAGTTTTGGACATGTCAGGTTTGAAATACCTTTTTGATAGTAAGTAGAAATGTCAAAAAAGCAATTGCATATATGAGTCTGGAGTTGCATAGAAGAGGTCTGGTGTAAAAATGTAAATTTGTGAGTTTTCAACATAAAAATAGTTTCTAAAGCCACAGAACTAAATGATGTATTTAGGAAAGTCTTGTTCTTCATGGACTGTAACAGCTCCAAGATAAGGTGATGCATCTACTCTGGAAGATTATGTATTCTAATATGAGAAAGAATCTTTGTCATACAGATATTTTATTTATCCAAAACACTTCAACTATATCATATATTATGCTATAAGATCCCTTCAATAAAAGTGTTTATTGATCTGGTAGAATGTATTGTGTAATCACACTTTTCTTTAGGCAGTTCAACTCCTGAAGCCAGGAGGTGTGCTGGTTTACAGCACGTGCACTATAACGCTGGCAGAAAATGAGGAACAAGTTGCCTGGGCCCTCAGAACATTTCCTTGCCTTCAGCTTCAGCCACAGGTAAGAGTATAGTCATGCATTATAACATCCATTTCGTCAAAGTCTGATCACATATACATCCATGGTCCCGTAAAATCTTAAGAGTTCAAAAATCTCAGAGAATAGTGAACTGAACAGCTTTCTGCATGCACTGAGTGTATCTCATGTCTCTTGTATAAAAAGTGATAGCTCTGCCAGTTGTATAACCTATTAATACATATGTCTTGATAGTCATAATAAATACCTGTGTTACTGGCTTATGTACTATACTATACTTAACTATCTAAAAAGTTTACTGTGTAACAGTATATACCTTCGACCCATAGGCAGCAGCATCCAGTCTTGTGTATCACATATTAACTCTCTGTTTAAAACCTTTAGAAAATACTACCATAAAGTGTATCGTGGCTCCCAAATGCAGCAAAAGCAGTGCTAGTGATAGCAGGAGCGAAAAGCAAAGGAGATGTATCGATTTTAAAGTGAAGCAAAAGGTTATTGAACAACACTAACACAAAGGTGGAAAATCAGTGAATGCTGTTGCTCATGATTTAGGCATGTTATACTTGACAATCACAATGATCCTCAAAAACAGAAAAAAAATTCTCCAAGCTGGTAAAGGATCAGTTCCACTGAAAGCTACAAGATTAATGAAAATGTGAGAGGGACCTATATCAGACATGGAGAAATTGCTAATGACATGAATTGAGCACCGAACGCAAAAGTGAATCTCTCTCAGAACACTGACCATTACTGTTAAGGCATGAAGCTTGTTTGAGATGCTTCAAGGAAAAAGCAGGAACAAACTATGATATGGTATTAGCAAAATGTCCAAATCACATAACATCTTATTTCACCAAACGTACTGTGGACATTAAATGGCACATGACTGTAGTTTGTTTTCTCTGTGTAATCTGAAAAATCAGAGAAACTTAAGCATGATAATAAACAGAGTGTTGCATGAAGAAATATGTCAAGCAAAATTTCTGAAACTAATACTACAAGAATCTGTTTCTCTAATTAGAACCATTTAGATGGTCCATAGAGGATTTGCACCTCCAAAGTTTTTTATTGTGTTACAGTGTCAAAGAATTTAGATGTATTTTTGTTACATTTATGCCACATGTAGTTATTGTTCATGTTACTCAGCACTTTGTTTCTAAAAGTTTTTTTCCCCTCCCTGTTTTATATTTTTCTGATACAGAAAACAGTGACCATTTTTTCTCATTTCACATCAAAGCCCACCACTGCCATCGAGTTGATTCTGGCTCATAGTGACTCGTTAGGACAGAGTAAAACTGCCAATAGGGTTTCCAAGGTTGTAAATCTGTACAGAAAGAGACTGCCTCGTCTTTTACCCATGGAGCAGCTTGTCGGTTTGAACCGCTTTCCTTTTGATTAGCACCCAAATGCTTTAACCACTTTGCTACCTGAGCGCCTTATTTAAAAAAAAAAAAAAAAAAAGACTACCCAAAGGGAAAGAAGTAGTAGTTCAGGATGATAGCTTTTTTTATGGTTTACAAAATATATAACATTTAAAAAGATTTATTTTCCTTAGCACTGTTTAACTTTCCATTATAGTTTTTATTAAAACTATATTTAGGATTAGATTTTTAGCCTATGATGTTTGAGATGCAGGTTAAAGCTGTAATAATGTTTGTAATCATCCAGACTTGTCGAACATCTAACTTTAGTACTTTCTGTACAGAATTCTAGCATGTAATTGGAATACTTATACAATCTGGAGGTAGATTTCTAGACCTAGAATTTAAGATAATTATAATTATAGATGAAGGGAAGACTTCAGAATTCCCTTGGAATTTTACTTGTGTGTGTGTAAATATATTCTCTGTCTCTGTCTCTTTCTCTCCTCTACTCAATGTATGCCTAAAAGATTTTTTTTTTTCCCTTACAAAATAATAAATGTGTTTTCTTAGATAGATGTCTGAAGAAATATCTTCATTAGCACATACACATGTGTCTGTGAAATGGTGACTTACTTAAGTTAGGATTATGGATTTTCTGCATTAGTGGTTTGCAAGCAACCCTCAATTCTTTTGATTCTGTATTCCCCTAAATTGACTGATACAGCTTTGTGTATTCCTTTCTAATATAATATTTATTTAATATTTATTGTTCTCGTACCATTTTAAAAAAGGCAACATTTATCATTCAGTTGGTTTGGGTCAGAGAGAGGCATTCAGGTGCAAAATATGCCTAAGGAACTTCTGTCAGTTTCTGGGGGAGTCCAACAGATAAAACTGAATTTTACCTATTGCTATGGTGATGGTTATGTTCTATTTATTGAGTGCCCACGAATACCAGGTGTACTACTGCATTCTTAAGTCTCAGGGCTGAGCAAAGTGTTGTATAGATGAGGAAACAGAGTTAGGCAAATTTACTTAAAATCACACAGTAAAATATGGCAGCGCTGCAATGTGAATCCAAGCATTTCTAACTATGAAGCTCAGCCTTTGCAGTGTCACAGTACTTGATATTTATGACATAATTCTCATTCATTGGGTGGCCATACCTAGAAAAATTACTACCTGGCAAAATAGCATGTATATTCCACAAAAATAAAAGGCATTTACTCATTTTTCTATTTTTGAAAGACATGCTAGTTAGACCCAGTTAGATACAACTCAGTTTCTCTTTTAAATTAAGTTGTGCAGTTACTAATTACAGGGATGTTCATCCATACTTGTTCATTTTCTCTAAACAGGAACCACAGATTGGAGGAGAAGGAATGATGGGAGCAGGCCTATCATTTGAACAATTGAAACAGCTGCAGCGATTTGATCCATCTGTTGTGCCATTACAGGACACTGACATTAATTCTCTCAGAGATACTAGAATAGAAGACATGATTTGGCTGGCAAATAAAGATTGTATAGGTTTTTTTATTGCAAAATTTGTTAAGTGGAAAAGAACATAGGAAAAGGATATTCAGAAATTAAAATTCCAAATATTTGCGTTTTTTTTTTTTTTAAAGCAGAGTGTTGTCAGGCCAACTGATTGATGGCATGGTTGCTAAGGAAATAGAAAAGGCTGCCAGCTGTTTGAACAGGGATCAAGAGACAGAAGAAGTAGTGAAGGGGGTGGTATAAAGTTATATTTTATGTTTTGAAACAATTTTTTCTTTATGCATTTGGCAAAGTATAAAGAAAAGAAGATGCCTGCAGATGTCTACAACACATTTTCAGTTGGGGTCTTGTGTTTATTTTGTAAAGAATCCAACTCAGTTTTTCTGTTAAAAATTAGTGAATCTAACGAAGGGATAAAATTGACAATATTTAACTTCATTATAGGGGAGAAAAAAATCTGCTCCTGAGTTCCTAAGTGGTTGTTCCTTAAGAATTCAGTGCATGGAAAGTATGTTTACCATGTGCCAGTAACTAAGCTCAGTATTTTACCTGAATATTTTTCTGCTTGTTATTTGGTAAATATCTTTCAGATGAAGTCTATACTTTTTAAATGATAGTCTGCCTTCATTAGGTTAATTTTTTTTCATGATTGTAAACTAAAAAGTGAGGATTTCCTTCACTTTGTACACTGGAAAAATGAGGAAACTCCCCCAAGTACCTTTTAACATCTGTTGGAACAAATATAAACCAAAAAACCAAACTCACTGCCATTGAATCGATTCCAACTCATAGTGGCCCCCATTAGGTTTCCGAGGCTGTAAATCTTTACGGAAGTAGATTGCCCCATCTTTCTTTCATGGAGTGGCTGATGGGTTTGAACCTCTGACCTTCTGGTTAGCAGCCAAATGCCTTATCCACATGCCACCAGGACTTCTTACTGGAACACATAAAAGTTATGAGAACTGTGATTGATGAGAGAGAGAAAAACAGCTCCTGACAGCCAGGACCTGGCCTGATAAGCTGTACTGTGGTTTGCTTCTGTTGAACATAAATACTTTCACACAACAGCCACATCAGAAAAGGCCACTGTGACCATGATGGATCAAGACAAAAAAGACCACTTCATAATCAAATCTGAACTCAGACAAAAAAACAAGATTATCCAAACTACAAAAATGATCACTATGAAAGACTGCTACATTTTATTGATCACAAACTTAGCCTTGCTTCATACCACCCATGGTTTAGATAAGGTCTCTTAAAATACCAAATTTCAGAATTACCTCTGCTTTCTGACAGCATCCGATCTAAAACAGCCCCAAGCTCTGAGCCCTTCTCAAAATCACCTAACATAAGCCTGGCTATAGAGGTTCTTTCTTATAGTCAAAGCCCTTTCTTATACCCTCACAGCTCCCTTGTTTTAATAAGGCAATAAACCCAACTTTGTTCAGCTCTTAAGAGGGACAAATGGTTATGTAAGTGAGTAAATATTTTATTCTTATCTAGAGGGGAATTATTAGAAAATTTTGAAAGAAAATGTTCTGAGGGTAATTATTGCATATAGTTTTTCTGTCATATTTGCTACCCATTCAGGTTCACCCAGCTGAAAGGGAATTCTGGGTCCAGGTTTCGACAGTATCAGAATCTGTAACATGCCCATGTGATCTTCACTGAATCACACAGTGCAGGGAAGCGACTAACTACTTACTCCTTTACATTTCTTGAGCAGGATATAGAAGAGCAGTTAAGCAGCCCTTAGTGTTAAAGGCTGTCTCATGAGGTGTTACATACATCAAACTGTTTTGCTTAGCTTTTATTCAGATTGCTCCAGAGTTCCTGGGCCTTGGACATATGAAGTGGAAAGAATTGCTTGACAGTTTTTTTCCACATGGTTTTAAGAATTTCTTGTAACTATTTATTGAATTCATAAAGATCACAAGGTCTTTTGAATCAGGTCAGATCTTTAGATAGCATTTCCTTTGAAGAAGCCTTTCCTAAACACTCTTCCCTGAGGTTGGTTTAGATACCTCTTTCTATTACTCTTAGTGCCCATATCTGCTGCTCTTCTGGCATTTATTCCCCCATTATTATAGTTTACTAGCCATATCTCTGCCCCCACCCCTAGACTTGGGAAACATCCTAAAACCAAGAATCCTGTCTTTTCTGTCACTGCTTCATAGTTTATAATCACTAAATGCTTAATGAGTGAAAAAATATTTCAAGCACTGTAAGATTCAAATATGACTGACTGCTTTCTATCCCTTATTCTCCCTTATATCCAGTAGATGTCATTTGACGAAAGAGAAACACTGTTCACCTGAGGCACTTCTGTTTTTTGGCTCAGCATACTTACATAAGCTTTAAATGTATTTTAAGAAAACCGCTACAAATTCAGTGCCTTTCACAGTCTCTGCAAAGCCTTACGTGCTAAGCTGAGATGAAAATGGGAGAGAACCAGCCTCACAGTGAACTTGATTGGTGTAAATTTTCTATTAATACCATCAAGTATCAAAATATAAATAATGCCAGCAAAAAGTACTTGCATACTGAAAACAGGAATCTTGTTAAATTTTTTTCCTTTAACATAGACAATTTTCAGTGGGTTTCTTTCCAAAAAATAAAGTATATTGGAAAATAAAATATACTCAAGGCACACGAGAAATTTGAGAAAAAATACAAGAAAAAAGGGAAATCCTAACGGGGATTATTATCTTTTAACATATTTAGTATCAACACAGCTATTTCTATGAAACAGAAAAAGCATTTAAATTCAACAGTGAATGCATTTTACTGCTGCAAAACCCTGCATCACATTTTAAACAGCAAAGTGAAATGCAAATAGTTATAATTTACCAGAAATAAATAATTGACCAAATCACCATCTTGTTACCTGTTTAACAATGTGACTCTTGAAGTTTTATAACATGAGCGCATCCAAGACTGGCAGCATTACATCACTGAGCAAAGGGATAAGGAGTTCAAATTGTCATCAAGCTGGATCTTTTCTTAAATACAAAGAATAAAATTCAAAACCTGAAATAGGAATTGCTACACATTTGGAATTAAGGTAGGAGAAAGACTAATGTGCTATAGCTAACATCTTTAAAAAAAAAAACTTTAGCTGTTATCCCTACCTTTTAACTTCTTAAAAACCAGACATAAACAGAAGATTATTAAAAGAATATCGATGATTGGCATTGCCCTTAAGGAAAATGCTATGTTAAGTGGGAAGTTTTGCTGGATATTTGACATATTTTCAACTAAAAAAATTATTCCTAAAATGGCAATCAATACTACTACTAATAAACAGTGCAGAAGCCAGCTCTTTATTTGTTTTATATGAATAACTTTAAACCAGATTTTTTTTAAACAGTTCAGTGTAGCTGACAGTGAATGTTTAACAGGAATGCAGAGCAGACCATGTTAAAATGTGGCATTGTCCCAAAGTACAATATGACTAAGACATCCTACATTTAGCAGCACCTTTTTATAACAGTAACTTAAATGAGCAGTAGAGAAGGAGCACAGGAAAAACTGGAATGAGTACCAAACAAACAAAACATAGAACTACCAAGTACATTTTCAGCATTTTCTAGGTTGACTACAAAAATCAATTCTACAACTGAGTATCAGGTTAAGATTAAGCCTTTGCTGTGTGAAAAGACTATAATGTTACATTCCATATGTTAATTAATATCTCATTGTCCTTGGAATTATTTCTTCATTTACAAGTTTAGTACACTGTTTACTCATATGGCCACAATACAATTATCATGTAGAGTTGCTTTTATATCAAATCCTGCAATATAATTTTTTGAGGAATACTCTGACTGGGACTAACATGTTCCCTAGTGAAGTGAAAACTAAAAATCCAGGCACACACACAAGAAAGGATAGAATCAGCACTGCTCTTTTAATTAATGATAGCAGCAAATAAGATAAATACCAGTTATACTTCACAAATTTGAATTTTCCAAAGTCATTAATTGGAGTAAAATATGTAGGAAAGGATAGGGCTCTAGTGGTCAACCACCTCTTACTGTTCTGGAAAGTTTATCAGAAATATTTTCTACAATTTTAATGGGGATATAGTTTCCCAATGATGTGAAAATTTTGTGTAAAAAATAAACATGACTTTATAGTGAATAAAAATTCATGTAAACAAGAATTAATTAACAAATAGATTGATTATGAATGGAAGTTTTCATAACGAGCTGAGAAAACACTAAGTACTTATATCATTTAATGAACTATTGAGTTTTCTTGGGGGTTGGGGAAATGAAAAATTTAAACAGTTTTACATAAAAAGGGCCAAGAATGTTTGGCAAAGACCTGGAATAATAAAGCAAAATAAACAATAGATTATTATAATTCTTATTTTGTTAAATAAGTTAATGTACAGATCTGAAGTTAGGCAATTATAGATAGGCGTTTTCCCAGGACAACAAGTGCTAGGTACTTGCATACTTAATAGTGTTTTCCCTACCCAGTGGAAGGTATGGGGAATATTTACCCTTAACATGATTAACAACATCGTGAGTCTTTTTACAATGGTATGATTGAGGCATGGGGATAGTATCTTCTGAGTTCCTCTTTAGAACAGATGTCTGGTATAGGGAAATACTCCAGGGCTTTGAACCAGTTCTTCCCAGTTTAGTCATGGTTGACAAAATGACACCAGAAGGGACTTGAATTTTTAAAATATGGGTGTACTGGAACCATAATTGGCATAGAAAAATCTGTGGGTAGATGCCCTGCTAGAAACAGAAACTTAATCTCCCTCCTAGAAAACAGTGGCAGCATGTATGTTGCATAGCAACCAAGTCTCTTGGCAGACAGAGTCAGAAACAACAGTACCTGGCTCAAAGATGGTGGCCAACTGCATCATTTTGAGTGGGTGTAACTCTCTCCACAGTCCTGGAAATAATCCAGTCTCCTGCATCAGGCTCCTGAATGGGCCCACTACGCCTCTTCTATTCCAGGGCTTCATCCCATAATTTTTCCCATTCTGGTTCACCCACATTTTACAAATTTGAGTCTGTTTTGATTTTGCTGCAACGGCCAAACTGTTTCAAAGCCCTGAAATAATCTTAACATTTTATTCACTTCAAGTCACTTCATTTTGCCCTGATTACCTCTGAAAAGCAGAAACTTTGGTTATAAGAAGCACTTCTGGGTTTTGACAGACAACAAAATTACTGGGGTTGGGGGAAGGATGGGGTGATTGGTAACCAGGAGATAAACAACGGGAATGATAGGCAAGGTTAAAAAATAAAGTGGGAGAAGTTATAAAAATTTATTTTCCCACGAAATAATCCCACAAGCTATGTAAACTTTTCTTACTAAAACAAATATTCTTAAGAAAGAAAGATTGTACATTTCCAGTGAAACACTCACAGTAAAAGTTGCCTGTATTTTTACTCTAGGAGTAAAAATGAGGAGCCAGCAGATGTATGCTTTCCTAGTTACCTTTGGCAGCAAACTTCCTCACATTCCCTGACTGCTCAATGGATCATTAAAGCAACATACAGCACAATTAAATAAAAAGCCAGCTGGACAGGATTTAGGTATTAGTCTCTTCTCTTCATTAGTCTCCAGCATTCAGAATTACCGCAACCTGTGCATACTCATTCATACAGACACACGCACACGTGCACACAAAGAATTCCGGCTCGTAAACTCCAGTGCTGTGACTATAACAGACACTTGCTACTAAGAATGTGTTTGTCACAAACTGTGAACTGTATGGATTAGAACAATTTCTGGAGTTTAGTTATATTTACCATAATTTATGGTCAAAATTATGAACTTACAAGGATGGTGTAACATTCAAAAATCAAACCTTTTCAAGTCAAACAATCACACATATTTACAATATGTACAGACTTTCTACTAAAATGGGGAAAGGTGTCTAGACAATGTTATTACAAATTTCCTGAATGTGGGCATTTCTAGTCCCTGTTATTCATAAAGCAAATCTGCTGACTTGGCATTAAGACTCTAAAATAGTGTGATCAAACTGATATATATATATATATATTTATATATTATAATTATAATAATAAGGTGTTTGCAGAAATAACATTTACAAACTGTCTATACAGTACACAGTACTAGTACATAGAAAATAGATTATAACTTTATGATCCCCTTTGTGTAAGGCAAGACTGAATCTGTCCCCAAATTTAGTCAGCCAGAGGTACAAGCAAGAAACAGTGGTCCATGAATGAGTGGATATGCAAATCAGGTGCCTACATATTAAAAAACCTGGAGAAACAAATTCCACATTTTATCTGTGCTGATTCTGGCTTGCGGGATACATCAACTACATTTCTGAAAACATCAACTACACTTCTTAAAACACTAACACCACCTGGATGGCAACAGATTTTGTTCAAGTGTCACCTACACCCAAGACAGTTTTTTAAAACTCCAGTATACAACTGGAGGACTGCAGCTGTACCAGGCTATTTCATATAGCACTTACAAAAGGAAAAAAAAAAACAAAAACACAGTATATTAATACTCTATTTCATGCTATTGCTATTCAAGCAACAGCAATACAAAAATATACAAGACAGATCACATATGATTGCAATGTAGACCCCAAAGAATTTGGGGGTGCTGTTATACAAGACTTCCACAAAAAAAAAAAAAAAAAACCCACACACAAAAGGGCAAAAATCATTGGCGGATGTAAACATCCCTGTTCCACTCCCCAGCCTCATTCCGTTTTTTGGATATTACTTCTCCATCCTTGTCACAATAACGATCCTTTGATTTATGACGGCTTCTTTGTTTGTTGCACTCATTGTGGTCCTGCTCTCGCTCCATGTCCCGGGTACGGTGCCGAGATTCCCTGTGTCTGTGATCACTGCTCCCGTGGGGCTCTTCTCTGTGGTTATGGTCACGGTGTGGGGCATAGTGATCTGCGTGTTCATGGGGATAATCTTCCTTCGGCTCCACGTAGGCAGAGTCTCGACTCTCCTGGGTTTCTGAGTCAAAAGTCTCTTGCCTGGAGAGGCCCCGACTTGTACCACTGCGGTGATTGTGATGTTGGGCTGAGGAGGAAGAACGATGCTGGGATTTCTTGACTGGTTCCAGGCAGGGTGCTTCTTCGGCTTGGGAAGCAGAGCGGCCAGGAGCAGACCGCTCAGTCCTCTGATCACCTTGAGAACCCTAGCAGGGAGGGGACAGAAAGGACACAGGCATTCACCAAGCTCATAGAAAGGGAATTAACATACTACAAAGCAAATCCATTCAAGTTTAGTCCCTTTTAGGTATCTAAAACACTGAAATGAAATATAACCTAGCTCAGTTACTTAATTACTTTGATACTGTCCATGGACATTTATAAAGTTTATACTACATTAAATTGAAGCTCATGTAAGTGCCTAGAACAGTATATACACTAATGATTTTTCTGTTGTTGTTAAATAAATGAAGGAGGGAGGAAGACATTCTTTCCTATGTTCTCTGGTGCAAACACAGAGGCCAGTCTCTGAGGTTTTTCTACGCATTGGTGAACACTTAACCACCTCTGCTTAAATAACATGTGGGACGATTTAAATTCTTCAGGAGGTTGACTTTGGCTTAAGATAAGGATTAAGGAAACAAACCAAAAAATAACATCCAATGTTTAAATGATCCTTAGTATAGGATAGGCACTGTTATAGGACTTTTACATACTTTTAACTCAGTTAATAAAACAACCCCATGAAACAGGTGGCCATTATTAATTCTGAAGCAAATGAGCTTGCTCAGGAGGATGAACTGGTAAGGGGGAGAATCTGGTTCTGAACGCAGGTATTTTGGTTCTAGAGTCTGTGAAGTTTTCCTATCCCTGTCATAAAGAACATGTATTTAGTGGGTTTTAAAGTCTGTATATGTTCAGAGTATATTCTGTTTATACTGAGAGAAGTACACAATTCATACTTAAGTTGGTTCAATGGCTCTTTTTCTTTATTGTGCTTTGGTGAAAGTTTACAGAGAAAATTAATTTCCCATTTGCCAGTTTGTGTATAAAGTATTCCATGACCTTATGTATGACTAGTTGCATTCCCCACAATGGGTCTGCACTCTCCACATATCTGTCCTGGTTTCTCATTTCCTTTTGTGTGGATTTTCTACCCCTTCCTGCCATCTCATTTTTGCTTGTGGGCAAATGTTGTCCTTTTTGAATGGCTCTTAATATTCTAATGAGAAGAGAGCTAGTAGACTGGAACAGGCACCGAGCAGATACACGGGATGACTGTGAAGCACCACCTCAGGGATTGGAAACCAGTGGCCTGACTGCAGGCAGCCTAATGTCTCTATGAAAATTGTAAAAGAGAACCTCTCCTTACCTGTGAATTAGAGGCTAGGGTGGGGCTAATAGGCAGAGTTGAAGTGGCTAAGGTACGGCTAAGGAGAGGGTTAGGGAGATTGCTGCTTGGAGGATGGGTGGCCTTCCAGTACGCCTCCAGATAGTCGGCAAGGTGCTCACAGGCATCCTCAAGCTGGTTCTCATCCAAGATAACATCAAACAATTCCTGCAAGGCAAGCATTTCAGAGATCACACAGCAGCCCAGTACTGACTCAGTTTCTACACTACCTCCAAAACCACAAATTGGAGAGAGAGGAAGAGATGGAGGGAGTCATCAGCTATATCTGCTCTTACATAGGTGCTCCTACTTTCTCCTTTTCTGTTGGCTGGTTATCTGTCCTATTTAATCAGAGTAGAAGTGTTTGTCCATCTCAAATCATTGTTTAGGACACTCAGTACTTCATAAAAATAGCCATAAAAAAAAAAAAAAAACCTAATATGATAATAGTTGTTATGGGCATAATACTACAAAAAAGTGATCTGTCAACAATGAAAAAAAGAATTGATACTTTAAGAAAAGAAATGTACAAAAGAAAATTAGTACAATTATCTGAACTTTAGAAAGAAGCCTATTCTGGATATAACCAACCAGTTGCTGTCAAGTTGACTTCAACTTACAGTGACCTCATTTGTGTCAAGTCTGTGCTCCACAGGGTTTTCAGTGGCTGAGTTTTTGGAAGTAGATTGCCAGGCCCTTCCTGTGAAAAGCCTTGGGGTGGACTCAAATCACCAACGTTATGATTAGCAGCCAAGTGTGTCAATGATTTGCACCACCCAGGGACTCTGTTCTGGATATGGAGACTGGGAAAAGCTTCATCTTGGGAATTAATGAAGCAAGATGAGGACATCACATTTGAAGGAAGGAGTTAAAACCAATGATGATTTTACATGGTCCAAACTTCACAATAGTTTGTTAGGGAAGAAGAAAAGTCAGTCCCTTTAATAGATTTTTAAAAAAAAAAAAAGGATCATAAATATTAACATGCTCCAAGCAATAAAGAAATGCATAGACTTATAACTCATATCTTCTGAAAGATCTTCACTTAACAAAACAAAACAAAACAAAAAAAAAAAAATACCAAGAAGAGATATGTAGTTCAAAGGCATGATAGGGAAAGCATGGATTAGAAGTAGGAATGTGTACAGAATTCAGCATGTGGGTATCTTATTGTTTAGACATTTGTTTTTCCTCAGTCTCAAATCAATTTCTCAGTTACTGAGAGCAACTGACTTGCTCCCTATGATTAGACATGAATAATAAACCAAACTCAAATAGATCCATCTCACAAACCCAATTTTTTAAATCATAATCTCATTTCATGAAAGATACTACCTAAAAAAGAAAAAAACCAAACCTGTTGCCACTGAGTAAATTCCAACTCATGAGGACTCCTTGTGTTGTGGAGTAGAACTTCACTCCATAAGGTTTTCAAGATTGTGAACTTTAAGAAGCAGTCAACAGGCCTTCCTCTGAGGCACCTTTGAGTGAGTTCAAACCTCCAACCTTCACTTAGTAGCTGAACACTTAACCATTTGCATTACCCAGGGACCCAAGATACTGACTAGGTGTTGGATGTGAACAAAATGAGGTCACCATAAAATGCCCTGTAGCTTTTAGTAAGCCGTGATCACTATCTGGACTGCTCATGTGCATGTGATCATGGTGGGAGGTAGGACAGTTGACTTCTTTGGAATTAATATCACTGTTAAGTGGCCAGGATTCTTACCCCTGACAGACATTTAGCGTGCTGGGTTTTGTTTTCTGTTTAATATAATGCCAGGTGTGATCTCTTCAAGTGGATTATATTATACATAGTAGTAACTTACTGGAGGACACTGAGCCAGTTTATCAGCTGCTACCATCTGGACATTGAGGTGTTTAGCTTGAGATTTCCCTCGAGATTTTATTAGCCTTTGTAAAACCTGTAAAAGAGAGGCCTTTTTAACAGAGAAAGATTTGTACTCAGGTAAACTACAAGGTACATTATTCACTCCTTTCTCTGGGACCTTTTGATGTACAGCACACATGGCCTACAATAGACTGAGCTATGAAATATAATGTGGAAGATTATCTGCAACATTAATATGCTAACATAAATCTCAGTTGCAAGCTTTAAAAAGATAACTAGCATGGAGCTTTTTCTGAATCAAATTTCCTAAGCCAGAAGTTTTCATTCAAATTGTTTTGTCTTAGAGCCCCTTTATACTTTAAAAAATTGTTTACGTAAATTATATTTAATGTTTATTATACCAGAAATGAAAACATTTAAAAATATTTAATTTATTAAAAAATAGCAATATATCTTTGACATATTAACATAAATTACTTATTTTTATAAAAATAGCTACATATTTGCAAATATATCTCACATCTGGCTTCATAGGAAACAGCTGGATTCTATCTACTTCTGCATTCAATCTGTTATAATATATTGTTTTGGTTGAAATATATAAAGAAAATGCAGCCTCCTACAGATATGTTACTGAGAAAAAGAGAAATATCTTAATAGCCTTTTCAAATAATTATGTATATTCTTTTTTTGAAACTACACCAAAACTCAACAAGTGGTTATTTCTTAAAGGTTGTTGCTATGCAGAATCTGAAGCCATATCAATGAACTTTTCTTCACTGTTACATTAAATTCCATCAGTCTATACTGAACTTTGAATGGATTTTTTTACTCTGCTTGATTTGATTATTTAGAAAATAATGACTAAGTTTTTTAGATCTTCTAAATGTTCACACATTGTGTAATATTAAAACATTACATATGCTAACATCATCCATCTCATCATAAAAAGTATTTAAGTACTGGGAATCTTCCAGGCTCACAGAGGCAGATTCAAGTTTTCTGAAATTATCATTTTTAGCCTGAGAGTTTGATTTTTATCATTGGTAACAAACACTGTTAGTTGTTTTCCTTGAAGTGAAAGCCTCACTTTGTGCATGAAAATATCTGCCAAATACCCAAGTCTAAATAATCATAGCCTGTCAGTTGTTCTTTCAAATGAAAATGGTATTCCATGAAAAGAAAAGTAGCTAGGTTCAGTTCACACTCAAATGATCACACTAGTGCTTGTCTTGGACACAACTATCTTTGCTATGCAACAGAAACACTTATGTGCACTTTCTATTTTGTTACTCAAAATATTTAAAAGATTTGTACTTAAGAATCAAAGTGTAACAAAATATTTTTTACTACTTCATCAGGATATTTTTAAGTAAAATTGGATTTAAAAAAAAAACCCAACCTGAGAGTACATGGTGGTGAAGAACACAGCAGCTGCTAGTCCTATGTGGTACTACTGACCCATCTGTGATTTGATTCATGCTTAGATGACAAAAGTTTTACCCATCACTGCTTTTGACTATCAATACAAATGTCAAACCAGTGAAATATGTGAATAATGTCTTAGTATTACTATGTAAATAGTTTTGACCTCATGAACTGTCTGAAAATATCTCAGGGAACCCTCAGGGATCTGTGGCCCATAGTTTGAGAAACATTCTTCTTAGCCATGAAACTAATAACCATTCTTTGACTTCATAAACCTTGAAAATTCTTGACTAATGTATGTCTCCTCAAACTCTTTACATCCATCAAAGGGCATGGTCTGTTATGACTGGAAACAACACAAAACACAAGTTTGTGAAGTTCGATTATAGATCAAACAATGACAACTCTACTTACCTTGGGAGAAGAAATCTTCACATATACTATAATAGGGGCCAAAGAGGTTTTGCTAAGTTGAGCTGGATGATTAATAGTGTCCGCATCAAGGACTACCAATTGCAATGTTCTTGCAAGTTCAAAAATCCTTTCAATTTCACTCTGAACTTCCGCTATAAGGGTTAATTAAACAGAGTTCAATTACTTATAGTATTTTTAGACCAAATAAGATAAAGTAAAATAGTACATGATTTCCACAACAAGAGGGTAGGTAGATGAACCATTATTACGTTAATGTTCATGGACAGCAGAGTTGATAAAAGGTATTTTTTGGAAAGGGCTATTTGTCTACAACACCTTCAGAATTTAGGGAAAGGCTCTTTCAATCAACTATAAAATTTATTTTGACTAGAACATTCTGTGTGTGTAAGAGTCAAATTTCCTGGCTCTCTCTGCTGACTTACATTTTATGCTATAAAATTTTATGAAATCATTTCATAGCAATGTTATAAGACATGTAAGAGATATCCTGCGTGTGTTTGTTTCTGACCACTTCACCCTAGCAACCGTTTCCAACTTTCCGTTTACTGACTCTGCTTATCTGTGTTATTGTGTCACCAACTGGTCTGCTGTCCGAATATGAAACAGTCTAGATCTGTTTATTAACCCACTGCCATTGAGGCAATTCTGACTCATAGCGATCCCCAGTGGGTTTCCAAGTGGTAAATCTTCACAGAAGTATATTGCTTGATAGTCCCTTCATGGAGAAGGCAGTGGGTTTGAACCGCCAACCTTCTGGTTAGCTGTCACATGCTTTAAGCACTGCACCACCAGAGCTCCTTGAGATCTGTTTATCAACAAGGTGAAATACAACATAAAATACAAAGAGCATTAAAGATGTCTAAACAAGTTTGTCCCAAAATATGCTGCTTATGGTTTCTACCAGCAAACGCTTAGTCCTGCAACATTTCTATTTTAAAAGGGCAGATATCTATTAGAGGCAACACTACAAAAATCCAAACTATAAAATTTATAGAAAACTTGTCATCAAGCATCTAAAAATATACTTAACCTCTAAAAAAATACTGCTAACCAGAAGGCTGGTGATTCAAACCCACCAGCCAGTCCTTGGAAGGAAGGTTGGGCAATCTACTTCCGTAGTGATACTGCCTCGGAAACCCGAGGAGGGGTTTCTGTGAGTTGAGTCCGACTCAAAGGCACATAACAGCAGCAGCAATTCACCTATAGTCGCTCTGGTAGCGTAGTGCCTAAGGCATTTGACTGCTAACCAGAAGGCTGAAGGTTCAAACCCACCAGGCACACCTCAGAAGGTTGGGCCATCTACTTTCATAGAGACACCACCTCAGAAACCCAAGGAGGGGTTGATATGAGTTGGAACCAACTCAACGGCAGTGAGTATTTCATTGTTCATCTACTTCTCCATGATCTTTCTAAAGATTCTAAAACAGTACTGACAAAACTTTCTGTGATGGAAATATTCTACATCTGAGCTGAGATGTCCTGCTAATGCTGTGGTTAAAGCACTTGGCGGTTCAAACCTACCAGCTATTCCTCAGTAGAAAGATGTGGCAGTCAGCTTCCATAAAGATTACAGCCTTGGAAACTCCATGGGGACAGTTCTACTCTGTCCTATAGGGTCGTTATGAATCAGAATCAACTCAACGGAAGTGGATGCTGCTAGTAGCTGCTAGCATATGACTACTGAGCACTTGAAATGTAGCCAGTGTGAATGGGTAATTAAAGTGTTAAATTTAATTTTAATAAATTAAAACAGGCACACGTGTTAGACTACTGTACCAGGCAGCACAGGTCTGTAAAGCATATTGTGCAGCTTGTAATCATAGAGGGCTAATTTTATGATGCTCTATTAGGCCAGCAAACTTGGACCTACAGTGGTTATTGTTGTTGTTAGGTGCCATCAAGCCATTTTTTTTTTAATTCATTTTATTGAAATATAATTTATGTATAGTGAAATATACAAAACTAAAGTGACATGGGTCAGTGCATTTTTTTTTTTTTTCAGTGTTCCCTCCCTCCCCTCCCATCCCTGGCAACCAACAAAGAAAGTTTCCCTCCATATATAAACCTTTCCTTGACCCTCCACAACAATGAAATAATACTGTATTTGTCCTTCTGTGATTGACTTATTTCACTCAGCATAATGTCCTCCAAGTTCATCCATATTATGTGGTGTTTTGCAGACTCTACATTATTCTTTAGTGCTGCATAGCATTCCATTATGTGTGTATACCATAGTTTGGTCATTCACTCTTCCACTGATGGGCACATAGGTTGTTTCCATCTTTTTGCTATTGTAAATAGTGCTGCAATGAACATAAGTATGCAAATATCTGTTTCTGTCCTGGATCTCACCTCTCTAGGATATATACCTAGTAATTGGATTTCTTGGTCAAATGGTATGTCCAATCCCAGCTTTCTAAGGAATTGCCATACTGCTTTCCTATAACTTCACAGTCCCATCAGCAGTGTATGAGAGTACCAATCTCTCCACATCCCTGCCAGCATTTGTTATTTTCTGTCTTGTTGAACTTTGCCATCAGTGCTGGGGTGAGATGGTATCTCACTGTTGTTTTGCATCTCTCTGATGGCCAACAACTGTGAGCATCTCTTCATGTATTTGCTGGCCACCTGAATATCCTCCTTGGTGACGTGTCCATTCATGTCTTCTGCCCATTTTTCAATTGGATTGTTAATTACTTTGGTGTTGAAGCATTGGAGTTTTCTATAAATCTTAGAGATAAGTCCCTTGCCAGATATGTAATTATTGGCAAATATGAATTTGTTGCTGTCATTTTTGTTATGTGCTTTTTTGTGGTTATTTGTTGCATATAATTTTCTATGCTGAGCTAATTTTGTTTATAAATCATGTTATCATTTCCTTTGTTGGTATTGTTTTAGTCTTTGTTGAATATTTATGCTGGTTCTCTTTTTTATTTTGATGTGAAGGTTTATCGTTTTTCTTTGAGGTTGCTCTATGATTTATAATTTTCTTCCCAAATTTAGAACAGTCTGTTCTATCCTGTAGTTGTCTTGACTTCCCTACCTTCTAGAAGTTCTGTAATGACAGTTTTTTCCCTCTTTTTGGTTTGTAGTTGTCCTCATTTGTTAATTGATGTCTTTGGTTCCCTGTTTACAGTCTTGTAATATTATTTACTTTGGATACTTCCATAACTGGATTGGTTTCTGGGTTATGTCATCATGTGTGTTAATGGTCAGTTGTTGGCTGTTGTTGCTTCTCTGTCTAAAGGGCACCCTTTAGCATCTCTTGTAAGATTGGTTTGGTATTAACAAATTCCCTTAATTTCTGCTTATCTGGAAATGCCCTAATTTCACCATCATATTTGAGGGACAATTTTGCTGGGTACATAATTCTTGGTTGGAAATTTTTCTTTCAGGGTTTTATATATACTATCCTATTGTCTTCATGCCTGCATGGTCTCTGCTGAGAAATCTGAGCTTAGTCTTATTGGTTGCCCCTTGTAGGTAACTTCTCATTTTCCCCATGCTGCTTTCATGATTTTTTCTTTGTCTTTAGTTTTGGTGAGTTTGATGATGATATATCTTACTGATTTTCTTTTGGGGTCCATCCTGTTTGGGGTTTGTTTGACTTCCTGAATGGATATTTTCTCATCTTTCATCATATCAGGGGAATTCTCTTCCAACAAATCTTGCTAATTTTCTCTCTGGTTTTATCTGTCTCTTCCTGTTGTGGAATTCCAGTTACACGTAGGTTATTCCTTTTGATGGTATCCCACATGAACCTTAGGCTTTCTTCATTTTGTTGTATCTTTTTTGTGATTGATCCCTTTTCAAAGACATATTCAGGTATTTGCCTTCAATCTTACTAATTCTGTCTTCCATTGCTTCAATTCTGCTCCTTTTCCCATTCAATGTGTTATCTATTTCTGAAAATGTAGTATTTATCTTCTGGATTTCTGTGTGTAGATTTTGTATCATTTCTAATTTTTCATTTATTTTGTCATTTTGTTCTTGTATTGTCTTTCAAAATTGTTCTAGGGTCTTCTCTGTGCTTTCCTCAATTTTGTCAGTGTTTTCCTTGACTGCCTCTCAATTCGTTGAAGATACATAAATATAATTCTTTTGAATTCCTTATCAGGGAGTTCCAATGCTGTGTCTTCCTCAGGGTTGTGTTTTGGGTCTGTATCCTGGTTCCTTGTTTCTCCTGCTTTATCTTGCTTCTTTGTGTGGACTGTGATGCTCTGTTGTCTCCAAGGCACTGTGATGTTTTTGTGTTTATATTTAATTTTTTATTGTATGTTGGAGTGACTTGCCCACAATTTTCATTTTCTTTTGTTTCTATGTTATCTACCAACACAGGGTACTATGCTGTGCTCCTCTATACGCTAGTTGGTAGCAGTTATACACTCACCACCTGTCTCTTTCCTTGTTGTCAGCCTCTCATATGTTCCTGCTGACCTTGGCACACAGAGCCTATTCTTAAGTCCCTGGAACCTGAATGAGAATGCTGTCACTTTAAAATCCAAAATGGCTGCCACTTGTAAAGATTCAAAATGCCTGTGTCCTTGGTCACTTTAAATATCCAAAATGGCTGCTACGTGTAAACAATCAAAATGGCTGCACCCTCCAGACAGTGGAGAGTCCATAGCTGAGGTTGTCTCCCTCCGTGCTGTTTCCCTTTCTAGTCATAGGCCACCAGCACAGTCATCCCTGCAGCCCTTGGTGACCAAGGCTAGTCTTTAGGTCAATTCTCAGGTCCCAACACCACTTGGAAATATCCAGGCTGTTGGTCCCATCAGAGTAACTGACAGTCCTCAGCTCCAACTGTCTCTGTACTCACTGTTTTTGTTCAGGTTTTTTCATTAGTTGGTGTCCAATCCACTTCTGTATACTTCCCTTCAAAACTCAGGGCTCCAGAATTATTTTCTGGATCTCTGTCAATTGGTCTTTGTTGAAGAGGGTCTGTGTTGCGTTTCTGCCTATTCCTCCATCTTACGGGAAGTGCCATGAAGTCAATCTTGACTCATAGTGACCCAATGTGGAAGAGTAGAACTGCACAGAGAGTTTCCTGGAGAGTAATCATTATGGAAGTAGATCATCAGGTCTTTATCCTAAAGTTGCTTGGGGGTTCAAACTGCCCCTTTCAGCTAGC